TAAACAAGTAAATTAAATTTAAACCAGATAGGCCACCTTACATAAAGACATGCCTAACAAACGCTAACATGTATGCATAATTTAGATCCATGTCTCTATGTACCACGATCACAGAAAAAAGTTTTAAAAAATAGAGAAAAATGAAATATAAATGGTCCCATTATTTAAACTGAAAAGTGAAGTGAATAATGCATAATTCTTCTAAAATTGTAATATCTTTTAATTTGTTTAATTATATATATATATATATATATATATATATATATATATATATATATATATATATATATATATATATAAGAAGGTTTATTTATCAAATAGGCCTTCATAATTGTACCTGAATATTAAGTTTTTATTTGAAATATGAACTCGTTTAAGTTTATATTAAAAAAAGTATAATAGAATAAGAACGAAATTTCTAAAAACAATATATACAAAATTATATAATTAGTTTCAATTATAAATAATTAAAAATAAATTGTATGCTTTAAAAAATCTTGAGGCATGTAGGCTTTGTAAATAAATCTATGTTGTGATTAGTTTTTTTACGATAATGTATTTGACTTTATAAATAGATATAGAATATTACTTAACTTTTAGAATTATGAGGGAGATAGTAATTAGAGAGATTTACTTTTTTTGAGATGTATGTTTAAGAGATGAGTTTTGTAGAGATATTGAAAGAGTTTTGATAATATACAAATTCATGAAATATACTAGATTTGTGAGATATAAATAATACATGTATTTATATTCTTTGTTATCTCTCTATTTATAATGATTTTTTTTTATTTGTGGAGTAGTCACGACTGAACCATATTAAATTTCATCTTTTGTATGTGATTTATTTTATACTGATCTCGTTTTGATTATTTTTTATTTTTAAATTAATAACAAATGATATTAGAGACATGATTCATGACTCATGAGATGTTGTCATGACTAGTTATTCATTTTTTAGGAATTTTGTTGTTATGTATTTGTTAGCAAGATTGAAGACATGTAGGAGGAAATTTGTTGAAATGAGTTTTCAGTTGCAAGTGGATTAATTCTTAATCGATCTAATAATACTTCAATAAATATTTTGTTTACATAACAGTTAATGTTGTTGAAGACTTAAAAGTTAATTCTCTAACGAAATTTGTATTAATGCGGAGATCGTACGTATTTAGTCAAATCTTAAGTGGTTGAAAATTACTTGATGGTTGACTTTATTTAGATAAGATGTTACAAACCTATCCAATCCGGAAGTCTTAATCATATAAGAGATGCTACATCAGGATTCAAGACTAAAATGAGTCTAAATTAAAAAAAAAAAAACCAATAAAGGTAGAGATATTCAATTGATTAAAAATCATCCAGAGGGGTTGAATGAAAAGTCATTTTAAATGATTTTTTTGACAAAATTGAATTAGAGATATTCAATTTTCTCAATCAAAATTTGCATCCACCAAACCCGTTCCAAATTATGTGTAGGTTATATGCTACTTTTTAAAATGAGACCTTTAAAATATTTTATAATAAATATTAATCTGTTAAATTCAAAATTATGAGGGATCTATGAGGTATTTTTACCAAATTTATTATGGAAAAAAATTAAAGATATTGTCAAAATCTTCATTTGCAACTTTTCCTGCCATTTTCTCGATAATCAAACAAAAAATTTATTTTCCATTTGAACGAAAATGTCGTTAATTAGGACACAAAGGTTGTACCTGGATAGGCCTGAAAGAAATTCATGTGTGAACCTCTAATTTTTGAGACATTGTGACATATCACATGCCACACTTGTAAATGGACGAGCCTCACATCCACTACTTTAGCTTTCTACCACTAAAATTTTCAATTCACTAACCGAATTTAAATCTTTCAAAGATAATATTTAATCTTTATAGCTCTATCTTTTACAATTGTTAAGATAGGACCACTCTCTTAAGGTGAGTGTTTACAAATATGAAAATAAAAAAAATATAAAAATATATTCAATGAAGTTATATATACTACGTACATGAAAATTTGAAAACTCATTTTTATTGATCTTAAAGTGTGGATAGATATAATAATATACTTCAAGTGTCTTTAGAATCATATGTATAATATTATTAAATTTTAAAATACGATAAAAATATTTTGGAATGATATTGTTAAATATGCCAATAATTAAAAAGAAATATTTTATATTTATGATTATATTAAAAGAATTACTACGATAAAAATACTTATGATATAAAATTTGAATTTACTTATTTATTCATTATAATATGTTATCATGCAACTCACATGTTTCCACTATACTATTTTCTAATCTTTCATGCAATTGATTTCTTAACTGTACCTGCCACGTACATTTCGATTATTAAAATTATTATGGTGAATAATAACCCAGGTGATCAGTTGTACTTTGACACATCTTGATTTTTAAATAAAATAATGTATATTCATTGACGACTGTCTTATCTACCGAACCAAACAAACAAATAATCTACAAAATGATTTTTTGTTTCCCACCATACGTATTAAAAAAGTTTTTTTCCTGTGAGTAGGTGGGTTTTAAGTTAGTGTTCGATGAAGTGGATGCATGATATTATTGATTTTGTGTTCATTTAAGAATGGATGTAAGATTTTAAGTTAGGGGATAAATTTTTAAATTTGTAGTGAATTTAAAAAAATTTAAGGTAAAAATATATTATCAATTGAAAATAAAAGAAAAATATTTAAAATGTATTCTAATTTGAAATTTTCATAGTACGTGTGTTCGTACTTTCCTTCTCTTCTGTCCATCCATGTGTTAATTGATATCCTTGTGCTAAGCTTTGTAGATTTATAATTTTTTAAGAACTCTTATATCAAGTAATTTTTTATTAATTTAGTGTGAATATAAGATAGTATCGGTTTGAAATATTCTCAACCATTTGATAATGAACACTCATACAACCCTACACATGTTGTGTTCGAATTTGAAACGTTAAGAGATAACAATCATTTCTTTAACCACTAAAATCATTTAATTCGTATTTTTTTATCGAGTAATTAACTAAAGAAATAGTTAAAAATTAATACGATAAAGTTATTAGTTTAATGACATAGAAAAAGGAATTAATAAAATTTACGAATGAATTACGAATATAATCAATACACCTATGCAGCTATTGTTATTACAAGACAAAAAAGAAAAATACCGGTCAATAAAATTTGGCCTAGCAAAAGCAAAATATTATATGGTCGATTATAGACTTTCACCGACCACAATGCATTGTTTAGTAAAAAAAACATCAATAATGGAGTATCTGAGTACTCGTGTCTTCTTGTTAAAGTCAATTTTAAGTTAAATTAATTGTCAGAAAGAAGAAACAAAGAGGATCAGTCGAATAAATATCTATTTTAGGGTAATGCTTTTTCTCAGCGAATTAGTTTCTTATTAATAATATTAAACATTTAAACCTCAGTCGTGTGTCTCATTAAAAATCTCTTTAAACTTAATTAAAATAAAAGAGTACATTACGATTAGAAAGTCGATTCAAATCAATAACAAACTTGGGGAACTCTAATAATGCCTTCCTAATTACCATCGAGTTTAAAACCTCATACCTTACCGACCTGGCCTTGGTGATGTGATCAGCCAGCCCATTCTGCTCTCTTCGAACGTTTGCGAAGTGAAGGATTGAAATTTCTCGAGTCAGTCTGTCTATTTCGTTAAAAGAATTCCATCATTTCCAAGGTCTCAATAGTGGAGTGGCTATCCAATTCAAAATAACTTGAGAGTCTGACTCGACACAAAGTGGAGTGGCCATCCAATTCCACTATTTTAGGGTAAATTGATTGTTAGAAAGAAGAAAAATAGAGGTTAATCCGAGTAAATTTCCATTTTAGGGTGAATTAATTGTCAAGAAGTGAGGACCAGTGGAGTAAATATCCGTTTTAGGGTAAATTATTTGTCAAAAAGAAGAAAAAGAAAGGACCAGTCTAGTAAATATCCATTTTAAGGGTAAATTAATTGTCAGAAAGAAGAAAAAGAGAGGATTAGTGGAGTAAATATCCATTTTAGAATAAATTAATTGTTACAAAGATGGAAAAAAAAGAGGATCCCTCAAGTAAATATCTGTTTTAAGCCGAGCAAAAAATAATTAAACTAATAATTGAGGAAGAAGCTAGCTGTTTATAAGGAGTAAGGTAAGGCCTGACATGTAAGAGTTTGGTATATTAACGAGTACTGCTTCATATACATAATACATTCACCAGCTAAACGGCATAAAATACACCAAGCTTTCTGTGGTGAAAAAACCTCAATAATATATGAATTAAGTTCAAATTTTAAAATTGTCATTCGTTTAACATATCAAACGATTCCATTGGTTAAAATAAATGTTGTTGTGTCTTCAGATTTTTAGTTTAAATAATTATGTCTACAGAGTATATGTAGAAAGAAGAAAAAGAGAGGATTAGTGGAGTAAATATTCATCTCTTTCTTGTCAAACTCAGATCCATTCTTCTCACCAAATCTCTCAACTTTTTTTTTAGTAGGTAGTGTGGTGGAGGTCTCGTTATAACAATCATTTGGGCTCTATTGGATCCCGAAGTTATGAACATGATGACTCCTTTGGGATCATCAAGCTCGGGGATAACCCTGCTGGCCTGCTCCCCACAAGCCTGAGCAGCCCTTCCTCTCAGACGAAATCGCCTCCAAGTTAGGCGATCGCCTGAGAATCAATTGCCTGGGGAAGGTTATGAGCCTCGGGGAACAACAATAGATTGTGGAAACACAACTCTTGATTGGAAAAAAAAGTAAAAAAAAATATAAAAAAATCCGAATAAAAAAATTGGCTGTGTCGAAACCCACATGCGAGTAAAATAATATTAACTCTCACTCTATAATTAATTCATTGCATGTCTTTTGCCAAAACCCTACCCCACTCTGAGCCTATCTCCATGCTTTTCTTGCCTATAAATTCGGCCTCAAAGCTCGATAGCAAAGCATCCCAAAGCTCAATTCTCACTCTCCCTCTCCCTCTCCAAATCCTATAGAGTAGTGGTGTTTTTGCAGTAGAGAGAGAGATCAATGGCCATGGCCACCATGGAAGCAACGGCAGGCAGAAAGGAGTTCTATAGCGATTATATGCTATTTAACCCTAAGAAAGCCTCGTTGTTTGATCTCATTGCCCTCTTGTTTTCCAGGAATATAAAAAACAGGAAATTTATCGAAACCACTATCGAAACCGAGGACAGTTTCATGTATAGAGTTGCTGTCTTCCTCACTACACTGTTGCAGAAGTTTCTTCTTACCATAAGTATTCCGATGGCTCTGGCGGGGCAGACTTTTGAGGATATGTGCAACCTTTTCACTAACAATGGTGGCTTGTTTGGTCTCGTAAAACGAGTCATGACAGGTATATATACACTACAGACAGCAAAAAAATGTTCATATTACATATACTAACGTCTATTTCTTTGTTTAGGGTTTCATACCTATATTACTATTTCGTTTATATTTACAACCAGAGATAAACAAGTTGATATTTTAAGCAACTTGTGTACTATCCTCCAACAAATTTGCCACTAAGATCCAATTTGAACGATCCTGCATGCATTTTATGTATATTCTAACCACTTGCGTATGTATCTCTTGCAGGATGATCGGAACTTAAAATGAGATAAATAAAAATGATCTCTTTGGTTTTTATTCACATAAATATTATGATGAGAATTTTAACTAATATATTAAAAATTATTTCACTGTTAACTCTTTGATTAAGTGACATAATTATTAATATTTTTTTAAATGTTATATTATTATAACTGAGTATGGACTGAAATTTTACTCATCATTGTTTTATTTAAATGCAATGGAAGATCAAGACTCAAGTGTTTACTTTCATTATCATATCCTTTTAAAGTCCAATCCGACGAGGATAAAAAGATTCTTGATCCATCACCATCATCATCATTGTATACTTCTGCTTATCATCATCATGATTTTTCTTCTTCTTCTCGAGTGATTTTGTGATATTGACTAAATTAATTCTCGATATATTAAAATGGTTTATTTTTAACCTTGAATCTAAATATGATATTTTTATTTTAATTACCAAATTCAGTAATCATTTAATTTCAAAACAATCAATTTTATTTTATTTCATAAAAGTTTAGGGTTCTTTAATCAGTACTCCCCAGCATATTTATAAAGAATGCATGCACGCCTGAAAGCTTCCTTTGTTTTTGCTGCCTTAAATATTTATGTCTTTTTGTGTTTATTTTATTCATCAGGTAACCAACAATTTCAGCTGTATTGTAGAAAAGCTGAAAAAAAGATTGTTTCTGGAAATAAAATATAAAAAGGAAAAAACAATCTAATACTCATATAAAATAGAATCTATTCATTTTAGAAAGGCTTCTGGGTTTTTCTTCTTCTTTTTATTGTAATAAAAGACATAAAAGCGTTGGATTTTCTTTCTTCTGTACGATGAAACAGGGAAGGTTGTGATTCCAGACAGAGAAGCAGCCACCTATGTCTCAGCCGTTGGATATACGGACTTGAGAATGGATTTAAGCAAAGAAATTTTATATGGAAACTCTATGTATTATCCTTCTCTTTCGATTATGGCTGCTAAAGCTGTTTACAATAACGCTGCTTATAACAAATCTATAATCGAAGACCACTGGGGGGTACGGTCATTTTTTTTTTGGGTTTCCATTAAGAATCGAAGATTATCAGATCTGACATTGGTTGCTGTCTTTGTCTGCAGATGCAACTCATTGGATTCAAAAATTATTGGAATGGTATTAGACAATATTAAATTATGAATTAGTGAATTACCACTTTTTAGAAAAGAAATTGAAATATCTTAATTTACTTTTACCAGATTTCATGATGAAAGCTGACACCCAAGTTTCCCTGTTCCGGAACAAAACTGCCGAACACGATACCATTATTGTTTGCTTCAGAGGAACGCAACCATTTAGTGCCGATGATTGGTGTTCGGACGCCGATCTGTCTTGGTACGAATTCAACGGCATTGGAAGGATTCACAGTGGTTTCTTGAAAGCTTTAGGGATGCAAAAAATTGTGGGGTGGCCCAAGTTCGTCATCCCCGATATCACCCGTCGTGCACCATTGGCTTATTACGACATACGGGATACGTTGAGAGACCTTTTGAAGAAAAACCCCGATGCCAAATTCATAGTGACCGGTCACAGTCTGGGCGGTGCGTTGGCCGCTCTTTTCCCGGCCATCTTGTTCTACCACGACGACCAACTGTTGCTGGAGAGGATGGAAGGCGTTTACACTTTCGGACAACCCAGGGTCGGGGACGAGGCGTTCGCGAGTTACATGGAGAAGAATCTGAACAAAAACGGGATCGGGTTTTACAGATACGTTTACTGTAACGATATGGTCCCTAGGGTTCCTTTCAACGGCATGTTCAAACACTTCGGTACCTGCGTTTACTACAACAATAAATACCAAGCAAAGGTAAATATTTTTCAAACCCTAAATTATTGGAAGAAGATAATGTCAGAGTCTAGTCATTAAATACATGCATGTGCTCACTGAGAGAGAGAGAGAGACAAATAATTCTATACATGTCGGATAATTTAAAAAATCTGCAATTATTAAAAATTTTCCTACAACAAGACAATCATACCACAATCTCCATCGATGAGAATAATTATAAATATAATTCCTTTCACTTAATGCAGATAGTTGAGGACGTACCATATAAGAACTACTTCTCGATCTTCGGGTTTATCCCCATGCATTCAAATGCCATTTATGAGGTGATAAGGAGCTTCTCGATGAAAATTAAATATGGATCGGATTATAGAGACGGGTGGCTGATGTTCGGCGTGAGATTGTTTGGAATGTTAATCCCTGGGATTGCGAATCATTGTCCACAAGACTATGTTAATTCTACTCGTCTTGGCAAACCCGACGACGTTTTGTTCCTCCCTCTCCACACCAAAAAGTCACTCGGTTTTGAAGTGCCATTGTTAGCTGCTTGATTTGATGAGAAGCAGAGGGTTGTTGGCTGATATGAATACCAATTCTGATAATAAATATATATATCTACGTAAGGTTACAAATCTTGGGAACTGGGAATTGGTGATCCATTTTCATTCCCAAGAGTTTCTAGGGAAATAACTGGAAGGTACTTGATTACCTCCAGGGTTCAACCTAGCAATTATGTATCTTGTTTTATCCTTTATGTTTATGTATTTTCGTTTCTGTTTGCGAGAATAAAATTACCGAGTCATTACGACTCTTGGAACTCTAAATTTCCAACTGCACTTTTTTTTTCTACTTCAGTACCTTTCAGCTGTTTGGACCCAACTTTGTCGATTTTTTCCAGGAAAATTGCAATAATTTATTTGTTTTGTTTATCGTCAATCTGATAGTTTTTTAGGACATATATACAGCGGGACACTAATAATGCAATATGTGAATAAGATGCGGTTGTGATTGGCTATTGCATTTGACATCCAAACCTGTCTGGTCCTTGTATGCTCAGCAAAGGGAAAAAAATCCCAAGTATCAGGCTTCAAATTGTGCCTAATTTAGTCTAAAATAAAAATATAGTACGTATTATGATTTTGACATGAGATAACAACGGTAAATATGAATGGTTAAATTAATTAAGTGATTAAAGTATTAATTGTTATTCTTAGAAATTTCAGATTTGAAAATCAACGACTATAAGGTATTTGAGTATTCATTGTTAATAATTGAAAGTTTTAGAATATATACTACCATTTGTAAGGATCCTAAATTAATCATATATTTCATATTTTCTTCCAATTAAATTGTATTGTGCACTTTTTTTTTCAAATTAAGCTAAATTAAATTTCGGATTATAAATTTCAGGAAAAAGTACAAAAATTATCTTCCGACTACAAGACACTATTTTATTGAGTTTTCGACTATTAAAAGTAACAAAATGGTTTCCCGACTATAGAACAATACTTTGTTTAAAAGTTATAAAACGACCATTCAATTATTCATGTCAACACCGTTTTTCGCCTGATCGGGGAAAGACCGATACCAACTCGAGGATTTTCTCTTTGAAAATGTTTTCGAAATGTGAGGAGTCGCCACCAATCATTTAGGGTGAGATTGGAACACCGTAAAAACTAGGTGATTTTAATAAAACATTCTATTTTAATAAAATATCGAGTTTTGGGGTCTACGAAAATCCAGAAATCAGGTTCGAGAGTCGGTTACGCGTGGGGAAGGATTAGCACCCCGCAAGCGCCCAAAAATTGGTACCTAATTGATTACCTTATCTTTAAAATCGGAAATCTTGAGTTCGATCTTTATTTAACTTGAAAATCATTACGGATGCAAAGTTGAAAAGGGTATTCGTTTATTGAGACCGATAGCATTCGCCCCCGAGCGTAAATGCGGGAGATTAGCTATTATTTCTAATAACCGGACATTGCCTCGTTTTTAGAAAACATGATGTGATTTTGAAAAGGATGTCGACTTATTTAGGGAATTATCAGTAGTCACCCCCTGAGCACGATCGTGGAGGATATATTATTAACTTCTTAATAAGTGAACAGTGCCTTAAGTTTTAAAAACAATGCAATCAAACAAAATTTTATTTAATCATAATTATACTAAAAATAAATTAAAGCTTTTTCTAACTTACAGTGACAAATTATGAAAATTAAAGGACTTAGGGTCTCACACCTAAAAACGTAGGCTCTAATATTAATTCTATTTGATTTTAATTAATTATTGAATCGAATAACCAAGATGGTCCCTCGAGCGTTTACGCGAGGACCGACTCGAATTATCCCTGATTAAAAGACAAGTTTGAAATCTAATCTAATATGGAAGTTCTATTTAACCTATTTAATTATGTCAATTGATTCGAGTATTGGGGCGTATAATGCGAAAACTCGACTCGAATTGCCCCTAATTAAACTACAATGTCATCCTAATTTCTAATTTCATTCGGATATTAATCTAAAAAACTAAATATAGAATTAAGAACTATGAAACAAAAAAAATTAAAAAAAACTTAATTGAAATAATTAAAACAAAAGATAATAAAAACATTAAAAATATAAAATAAAATAAACATAAAATAAATACCTAATTGCATAAATATAAAATAATAATGACTAAAATACAAGGAAATAAAGTTAGTAATTAGATAAGAAATAAAAAGTGACCAAAATGCAAAAAATAAAATAATATTAGCTAAATCAGAAATTAACAGTGATTAAATTAAAATAAAACAACACCAATATGCATAATCAGAATAAAATAAAAAGAATGACCATAGTATAAACATGCTGAAGTTGATGATTTATACGTGATTTACCTATTAATATATGTTAACCAACCAAAAAGCCTTAGAATATGGGGACCTAATGTTTAATTAGACCAAAAATTATAAAAGTTTAGTAATCCCCTCCCCTTATTTTGTTTCTACACGTGAAAACCAAAACAAAAACCCAGAACTATTTTTTTAAACTCTTCTCTCCCCCCTCTTGTTTGTTTCGAAATCACCAACTCATACACTTACACACAGAAAAAAAATAAAATTGAATACCAGAAGAACTTTCTACTGTTTTTGTGAATGGTTGGTATCTTCCTTCGATTGGAAGAGTGAAAAAAAGCCTCCTTTTATTGCTTCGAAAATGATGGTCGAGAGACCTTTACAAACTATTTTTTTCCTCTTCGAATGGTTTCCCTATTACATCCATGTTTTTCTATTTTTTTTCATACCAGCTCCCCCTCACGTTTTACATTGACCTTGGCTTTTATAGCCTAAATTCTCATGGGTTTAATATAAAATACAAACTAGTGGGATGCATTTATCCCATGAAATAAGGGATAGGGGTGCATTGTATAATAAAAAATGGTTCTAGGTGGAAACATGATATGATGGTGGGGTTAGAATAGAAAATGGTGCTCACAACTGCCCCTCTTTGCTCATTACTGTGAAACGGGAATGAAGCAAAGATAAAATAGCGATATTTTCGACTCAATCTTTGCTCTTTAAGTTGCGAGTTTTTCATATCGTAATCTTTCTTCCATAAATGTTGATCCATCAAGAGAGGTGTTGCTGATTCAACTCCATATGTGATGAATTGAGTAAGAATGACAATGTTAACGATGCTGATCCAATTTTGTATGTCATAGATTTGAGCTAACAAATGTTGATCCACCTCATCTTGTGATGAAAATAAACGAGATGTCGATGTTGATCTACCTCCTTCTGTGATAGAATCGAGCTAAAAGTTGACGATAATCCAACTCTTTCTATGATGTATTTGAGCGAACAAATGTGATCCATCTCATCTTGTGATGGAATCGAACGAGATGCTGGTGCTGATCTACCTACCTCCTTCTGTGATAGAATTGAGCTAAAAGTTGTCGTTGATCCAACTCATTCTGCAATGGATTTGAGCGAAAATAAAAAATTCGATCAATTTCCTTCTATGATGGAATCACCAAAGTTGAACAAGTTATTCTCATTATGAACTTCTTCTCCCTCATCGGATGAGTTCTTTTCATTATGAACTCCATGCTGGAAATGTTGATGCAAGGTTGAACAAGTTCTTCTGATTATGAACTTCTTCTTCCTTTATGGATGAGTTCTTCTCATTATGAACTCTCCACTGGAAATCTTGAACCCAGGTTGAACAAATTCTTCTCATTATGAACTTCTTCTCCCTCTATAGATAGTTCTTCTCATTATGAACTCTCCACTGGAAATCTTGAACCAAGGTTGAACAAGTTCTTTTCATTATGAACTTCTTCTCCCTCGTTGGATGAGTTCTTCTCATTATGAACTCTCCACTGGAAATCTTGAACCAAGGTTGAACAAGTTCTTCTCATTATGAACTTTTTCTGTCTCGTTGGATGAGTTCTTCTTATTAAGAACTCTTGATCGGTTTATCTTCTCTTTGAAGATTTTCAAACCTGCAAAAGATTATAATGTGTCAGTAATAATTGTGTTTGAAGTACCCGAAGGTGTTGATCCAAAGGTCCTTGAATTTTGCTGAGATCCATTTCTTTTAAAAATGAAGACGTGAATTGATTCTTTGCTGAAATCTTCTTCTTCGTCACGGAATTGTGCAATGAAACCTCTGCTAACTTTGGAATTCCTGTCAAATATTCAACATTTGGATGAAAATGAATAAGAAATATGTTATAAGAAAAATTCTCTCGAGTGAGATAAAATTTATTGTTTCAAGGGAAACAATCTCAAAGGTTGGTGTTTCAAGAGAAACTGTCTCAAAGGTTGGTGTTTCAAGATAAATTGTCTCAAGAGAGATAAAACATGTTTCAAGGGAAACAATCTCAAAGATTTTGTGTCTCAAGGGAAACATTTTAAAAGTTTATATTTCAAGAGAAACTGTCTCAAAAACTTGTTTCAAGAGAAACTGTCTCAAGGGAGACAAAATTCGTTTCAAGGGAAACGTTCTCAAAGTTTTGTGTTTCAAGAGAAACTATCTCAAGGGAGACAAAATTTGTTTCAAAGGAAACTGTCTCAAGAGAGATAAAATTTGTTTCAAGGGAAACTGTCTCAAGAGAGACAAAATTTGTTTCAAGGGAAACTGTATCAAAAGAGACAAAATTTGTTTCAAGGGAAACCGTCTCAAGAGAGAAAATTTGTTTCAAGGGAAACTGTCTCAAGAGAGACAAAATTTGTTTCAAGGGAAACTATCTCAAGCGAGATAAAATCTTTTGTTTCGAGGGAAACTATCTTAAGTGAGGTAAAATATTTTGTTTCGATGGAAATTATCTCAAGCGAGATAAAAACTTTTGTTTCGAGGGAAACTATCTCAAGCGAGATAAAATCTTTTGTTTCGAGGGAAACTATCTCAAGCGAGATAAAATATTTTGTTTCGAGGGAAATTACCTCAAGCGAGATAAAATCTTCTGTTTCAAGGGAAACTACCTCAAGCGAGATAAAATCTTCTGTTTCAAGGGAAACTATCTCAAGCGAGACAAAATCTTCTTTAAAAACAATCTTGAGTAAAATGAAATGTCTTCTTTCGAGTAAAAATCGTCTCAAGCGAGACTAATCTTGTTTTAAGAAAAACAATCTTGAGTGAAATAAATCTTCTTGTTTCGAGTAAAAATTATCTCAAGTGAGTCAAATTTTGTTTTAAGAAAAATAATCTCAAGTGAGATAAATCCTCTCTATTAAATGAGGTTGTCTGAAGCGAGACAAAATTTATATTGGAATTGTTGATTCTGAAGATGATTGTTCCCTTTTGTTGAGGATAACTTGTT